GAAAAGAAAGAAAGGCCTTGAGGTGAAATTATCATCATCACTATACAGTTCTGGAATATATCAGCTGTTGAGAGAAAGGAAGGAAGAGGAAGGAAGGAAGGAAGAAAGAGAAAGAAAGAAAAAGAGAAAGAAAAAAAGGAAGGGAGGGAGAGAGAGAAAGAAAGAAAGAAAAGAAGGAGGAGGAAGAAAGGAAGAAAAAAGAAAGAAAAAAAAAAGAAAGGCTTTGAGGAGAAATTATCACCATCACTATACAGTTCTGGAATATATCAGCTGTTATGACACAAAAGCAAATCCGTCATGGGTGGTTTCAGCTCCTCACTGTGCAATGCCAAAAACCATTTTTCTGGCATATCATGAATTGACCCTGATAAGCATCTTGAAGTTACAGTGTTTTACCTTTCCAAATACTGATAGGAAAAAAAGGTATTTCCATAAATTTAGCAGTTTCTGTTAAATGTGCATATAATGTCTTAGTCAGGTAATTCAATTTATCTCAAAAACTCACAGGTTCTCTTAAGAGTGCTGACTGTCCCTCCTTTAGATCAGTAACACAAAAGTGACAACGTTAAACCCAGCACACTTCCATTTATGCCTCCAAATCTTAAGTCCACATCTACAAGTGCAAGTGAAATCAATAGTGGAGCTAAACTCATATTTTGGTCTGAAATATGTTTTATCTTCATTAAAATTATCGGCACTGAAAATGTAACTCTCCTAGGTTCTTTTTTTTTTTTTTGCCACTAACACCAAATTTAGAAGAAAAGCATTTTTCACTGGAGTCATTGCTAAGCGTATCGACAGCCTCTGCGTGTTCTTTAGAATAAGCAAATATGAATGGTGTTTTTTCTTTACCAACGTGGAGTAAGGCTCTTGTGTGGTGGAATCTAGCAATATAGCCAACCGGACGAAACCAGGACACAGTTTTGTAGCCTGACGCTAGAAGAACTCCGGCTCCTACGTATTTCCCTTGTAGGAGGGGTGCTCAGGCCATCCTGGTCCATCCACTTGACCAGCAGTGTTGTGTGTAGCATCTGGTTTTCCTGCAGAGGGTCTGTTTTTGTTTACCGTGCACCTACAGGGAGTTAGACCCCACGTGCAGCACTTTAAATGCACTAAATTGTTTTCTTCTCACTGCAATCTTGCGCGACAGGACTACAGAAATAATTTTCCCATAGTTCCAATGGCTAGAAGTAGCAAAGCCCACATGTGAACCAGGATTACTGCACTCGGATGCCATGCTCTCATCCTTGGTGCCATTCAGCCTCCATAGCTACATTCAATCCCTTATTGTTTTCCCCAGCAAACAGAGGAGATGCTATGAAAATCAACAGATGGGTTGAAATTAAATGACCAGTTACATAAATTATTAGGAAATAAAACAAAAGGGCAAGGTAGCTAGTGGATTTCTTTGAATTTCTGGAAGCATTACCAGTCCTCTCTAGCAAGGACATACAGGATGTGACATGTATGGTGTCAAAACTGACTGTAAATTTGGAGTCAAGCTTTCTCAGAATCAGTTCTATTTTAGACCCTAGAATTTCCCAGTTGTCAGGGACCTTAGCAAACATTTAATCCTGAGATTGTCAACTAGCTTTGGTAATGGGTTCAGCTCACTGTAATTCCATAAACTGTTCAGCCATCACAGATTAAAAATGTTTTAATCCGAATGCCTCTTGGCTGAAGGCTTGCAGTATTCAGTTTGCCACAGGACTCACTGCTTCCTATTGATTAGAACTGGCCTGATTCAGTGATGCAATTATGTTACCTGTCTCGCCTTAATTAAATATTTGATGTTGAGGTCCTTGGTGAGTCTGAGATAGGACCAGCCTTTTCCAGAAATGGCTTTTGTTTTTACAGAAGTATTAGCATTCTTGAAAGAGACAGGGATATCTCAGTGACCAACACTGAGAAGCGTTGTAACTAGGGGAGGCTGGTGCGTGTAGTGTCCAGTAAGCTTCGGGGGAGGATTGAGGTGGCCCTTGACAAGCCATCTCACGATGCAGCCGAGACCTGCATTGTCTTGAAAACCTTGCTTTGTGCAGTAGCTCCATTTACAGATCAGAAAACTGAGACAGCACCAGAATGTTACTTCCTCAAGGTCGCATCAGTAATAAGGACCAGAGCCGAAGCCTCCTAACTCCCAGTCCAGTGTATTCCCATGATATGCACTGCCTCTGAAATCGCTATACCACTATAATATCATTTTTCCACGATAATACCAGATTTAAATAGTTTTCAAGAATACTCCAATGATAATATCAGTATACCTCAAACTTCTAAGGAACTAACATTTTCCTAAATTTCCTTTAGCCTGGAGCTGGTAGTGTTTTGCTCTAAATGCATAAAATAACCATACTCTGTAGCTACTACATAGCAATGAATCCAGAATCATCTTCAGCCCCAAACACAGGTGAAACTTACCAGGGTTACAATGTGTGGAACCTCCAAGAAAGTCGTGGTTCGAGGTTATTCAGATACACAGGGCCCTTTTAGACCAGCATATCTGCCTTGTTCAGTATATTTTCCCTTCACATCCAGTGGTGATGCCTTACTTTGTTTTCAGTGGAGAGTGGCATACAGATGGCAAAAACAGGACCGGCTATTTCTTTGAACACAAAGACCATTATCTTTGCTTACATGAGATTAAATGTAGTCACATCTTTGGCATTATTTCTTCCTCATAAAATTGTACAATACATCCCCTTTTTTGTTTCAGAAGATGCAACCCTATGTTTTCAGTGGGGTCCTCCTCTTGAGGCCTGAGACATACTAGGGAGTCAGAAAAGGAAGGGTTGTGGGCGAGGACAATTGATCCAGCCCTCTGGGGAGCTGTGGGCTCAGATGGCGGCACCCAAGCCGGAGAGGTCTTTCATTCCTAATGCCTCACCCAAGAGGCATAGTCTCATTCTTGCCCCTGTAACTGACAAGGTTAGAGTAGCAGCTCTTGCCCCCAGCCTAAGTGTGTCATACCTCCTTTATGTCAGTGGGATTTCACTGTGAGCCCAGGGAAAGCAAAGACGGCCAGCTGCCACTCTCTGCCCAGGTCTCGCTGTAGCAGTCAGAAATTGTTGTTTCTCTCTCACTCCATCTATCCAGTCTGGTTGTGTTTATGTGTGTGCACATGGGCACATGCGTGGTTTTGATTACAGTTTCTTGGGACAATAACTGTCTGGCATCATTACCATCTGCAGCTTAAATGAAGAAAACAAGAATGTTGAGACAAAACAGACAATTCTTTTATGTCTACAAATTCTCTGTCCGGCTCAGTTCTGTTGGTCAGTGATTGTAAGACCAATGTCGCAGTCCTAGAGCCTTCTGTTCCTCCTCTGCTGTGTGCTGATCTAGACCAGCCAAGAGTGATGAACGTGTCTCAAGGTCGATAAATTGTGTTCCTGCTAATGAACTTTAACTGCTTTAAGTAATAGTAATGGCCATGGAAATTTGGGCACTGGTACAAAAACTTGCTTTAGAATGTATTGATTTTTTTTCTTTTTTAATCCATCTGAAGAAATCTTTTCAAGTTAGTCTCAGTTTTGCTGTTAAAAACTGTGGCTGTTATTCCTTCCAAGTCTCCTTTCTCCTTGTGCATCCACACTGGTATTCTTCTGTTTCCAGATCTCTCCCCGCAAATGAGAATGATTGTGTTTTCCCACCCAATAGGTACTATTAATATTTATTTACCTCACAGTCAAGTTTTATTAATTACTTAATTAGCAGTAGTGAAAACAATTAGTGTTTGGGAGCAGGAAGCGTTACATACGTGCTAAGAACAAAAATAGACTAAGTAAGACACAGGGGTTGAATTCTAAATAAAGAAAACAAATTTTGTCTTTTCTTTTGAGCAGTGTGGAGGCCCCCACAGTGGCCTCTGCCAAGTGGCTTGTGGCTCATGCATGCGCGCACACACCCCTGCCTTTACGGCTGCTGCCCTCCCAGCGCTTGCTTCAGAGTGCCTTATTCTGAACATGATATTCCTTTGCTCTGCTCTGCATTTGTAGGTAGCACTCAGTTGAAAACAGCCTATGCATAAGCTTCCCATTTAATTTCATGGTGAGGCGAGTGTAAGCTGTGCAGTGAGCCACACCTTGTCCTGTTTCTTTGCCTCCTGGAAATAGAACGTATCAGCCCAGAAATGAGGGTCCATGCTCAGGTAAAGCCCCAGAAGCTAGATCTCTCTGGCTTCACACTTCGGTTGTCATCAGATTATGTCTGAAACAGGCCCACTCACCTCTGTGACTCCTGCTTAGAACCTGGGAAGCAGAGATGTTGACTGGTGCTCTCCTTGGCTTGCGGAGCCTTAAGCAAGGCTGGTAGCTGCCCCCCATCAGAATATGTAGGTAGACAAACTCTCAGCATTGGGAAACTTAAAATTCTCTCTTTTTTTCTCTTTCACTTTCAACCAGTACCTGGATTTTAAAAAAATTCTTTTTATTAAAGTATAGTTGATTTACAATGTTGTGTTAGTTTCTGGTGTATGCTATAATGATTCAGTTTCATATATATATTATTTTTCATAATAGGTTATTACAAGCTATTGATTATAGTTCCCTGTGCTATACAGGAGGACCTTGTTGTTTATCTACTTTGTATATAGTAGTTACAACCCTCTTTATCACACGATCACTAGACAATATAATTCAAACATCACAATACCCTCTAACAAAATTATCACACAAGTTTATTAAGCTCTTACTACTCTGTGTGGTGCTGTGCTAGGTGATGAAGTTGTCAGAACAACATGCTTGCTCTGTTGATTATGTGAAGATCTTCTCGGGCTTGCCTTTTGAGGAATGTGTCATCTAATTAACAAGATACGTCCAGAGCATGAAAAAAATCAACACAAAGTAGTATATGACATTAGCTAAATGTCATATAAGAGGCATCAAGGGCTTATTGGAGTTCAGAAAAGGAAACAGATAAAAGTGATGGAGGATGCCATATAAAAGTATCAGGAGGAGACAGGTAGAAATTGAACTGGACATCAACCAAAGAGCCAAACTTGGGCTGGAAGAAGTGGGTGGATGAGAAGGGAAAGGGAGGTAGAGGAGGGAGGAGGGTGGCAGAATGCATGGTACTTTGAGAACTCATTCTTTGCATGTTAAGAGCAGATGCGTTTTTTAAAAACAGGAAATAGTGAAAGACAAAGTTTAAAATGGAGAAAAGAGTCAACTATTGATGAACCTTGAATTGGGGCTTGATTCTACCTGGTCTTCCTTGAACTCCATCAGGGAGGATGTAGACATGTCAGTATGAGTCTCTTTATCACAAGTTAGTTTGGAAGGCAGCACCTTAGTGTGATTCCAGAGAATCGTACAGCTCCTGTGTGTCAACTCCCCTCATGAAAGTTGGAAAGAGATCTCTGTGGTGTTTGAACTATTCAAAAGGGTTGCTCTAAGAGAATGCCAAGGTCAGGGTCCTCTACTTCTTCCCCAGCACAAAGACTAGAACAGCCCAGAAGAAATGGAAATCCACTAGTTGAGAGGTTGGACAAGTTTCAAGTGGCCTTTTAAAGCCTTCACTTCAGAGTTATTTCACTCCATCTAAATGCATCACTGACTCGATTAGCAACCACACTGAGAGTTTCAACTTATTTCCACAAATGACACCGAGAGGCTCCATCAAAAGTGATAGTTTCTTTAGTTCATCAAATCTCTATTCACTCTAAAAACATTATTGTCCTTGTGGTTTGTGCTTTACGATTGCTTTTATGAAGACAGTGAAAAGGCAAAATATATAGGTGGAAACTTAAATTGACTTTCTATCACTAAGATTTACCATTTTCAAAAATAGCATGCTAGATTAATGCACTTCTGATTTCAGGGTGCTTTTTTTTTCTTTGAATTGGTCTTCCCTGAACATAATAATTCTATCAGACAATGGGCTGTGGAAGAAAACATTGTGTGCAATTTATTTCTGGGGTTTTGAAGAATAAAAATACAAAAAAAGTTTTTTACTAATGTGTCTGGAATATCAGATAAAATATGGTTATAATATGCAAAGGTGTCTTTCAGTTATAGAATTTTTTGTTTTCCTTTCAATGTGTTTGTTGCAGGATCTAAGGGAGGAATGTGTAAAGTTGAAAACAAGAGTGTTTGATTTGGAACAACAGAATCGAACGTTAAGCATCCTGTTCCAACAGCGAGTCAGACCAGCTTCTGATCTGCTCCTCCAGGTATGTGTTTATGTGGAAAACAATCTTTGCTACTGAAATGCTATTGACAAGAAGTGACTTCAGTTCAGAAATTACCACTCTCTCCAAGGGCAAGACATATTGCATCAGAACCTCAATTCTTTCCCCTTTCAAGTGACGTCATTAAAATTGAATGTCTGTTCAGTCTCTCACCTTTTAAAGCTGATTTTGATAAAGAAACGCATCAACAAATAAGAAACAGATAAAAAGGACAATCAGAAGTATCACTCTAAGAAACTAAGT